TCTCTTTCTCTCTCCTTCAGGTCTATTGGATAGTGTTGTTGATCTGGATTATACCTTTATTAATGGATCCAGTGTATTATTAACATGGACAGCTCCTTATACACTGGATAATGTTCCTATCACTGGATACTATATAGTCAATGAATTAGTGAACATTACTACTACTAACAAGAGTATTATATTATCAGCTACTAATCCTGATCCTTGTATATTAAATAATGTATCAGTTTCTCCTATTAATGATGTTGGAATAGGCTTATCTAATAATATCAGTTTTTATTATGAAACAGGTTAGCATTGTTATGGCTTCATGTATATGTTCACAGTGTTTCATTTAGTTCCTCTCGTTACTCCTCCTGTATCAGTGGCACCCGTAATTGATGGACAACAACTATTATTGAATATCAGTATTAGCGTAAGTACCAGTATTTACTATAAACATTTTACATGACTTAGCAGGAAATGCCAAAGCTGTTTGCTGTAGTTTTAAATTTACATGTACTCTATGTTCAGAATATGGTGTGCATTTAACTGTAACATCATATTCACCACATTAGGTTAGGGAGTTGTGTACTGGTGAATATCCTAACAGAATAACAGCTAATATACTGGATACTGATAATACAATGTTAGACAGTGCCGGTATATCAACACAAGTTAATGATCAATCGATGATTACTGGAGTAATAACTGTACCTAATAATTTAAATACATTTATTGTTAATGTATCACTGAGTAATAATGGAGGAGAATTCCTACCAATACCTTCTTTTGGATTTGGTAAGGAAAATTTGGTATATTCAATCATTAATTTCATTATTAGGTAAAGTTGGACCAGTTACTAACATTGACTCTTTAATTGACAACTGTTCTACTATTGATATAACATGGACTGCTCCTACAGTTGATGATGGAGTGTCTATACTGTATTACATACTAAAAATATATGATGCTATTACTGGTAGTCTGGTGGATACTGTATTAGTAGATGGTACCAGTTATCAGTTTGTGGATAATAATTTATTCATTCATCGTTATACATATGTTATAACTGGAGTTAATGAATTAGGAGAAGGAATATCTAATAATGATACATTCTCATATCAAAGAGGTACAATAAGCAATGCTGGTAATTACTGGAAAAATGATTTTATGTTTATTTAGTACCAAGATCAGTTACTACAAAAGCTGCCTCAGATATATTATCATTTAATGAGACTAGTGCTAATGTTTTCTTCAATATCCCAGTAATAGTATCATTATATTATAATAATCATACAATAATCATTATTACAGGTTATGTTGGAATGTACTGGTGAAGCACCTGCAAATGCTACAATTACTATACAATGTACTGGAAAAGGTGTTGTGTTTAACAACACATATCTAGTGAACTATAGTGCACAACCAATGAATATAACAGGATCAGCATTAGTCTCTCAGTATCAGCAGTGTAATATCAGTATTGTATTTAGTAATGAGGCTGGTAGTAGTGAGCCATTTATACTAGCATTTGGTAAGTATTTGATATTTATTAATGATTATACTCATCATTATTATAGAGTCTACTACTACACCACCACCTATTCGTTCATCATTTCCTTCAGGTTTACTACAATAAATTGACTAACTTACTTATTCATACTTTATAGTATTTATACCTGTTATTGGAAGTCTCATTGTTGTACTATTATTTTTATTAGCTGGTGTGGCAGTGATACTGTGCTGCTTGTATAAAAAAAGTTAGTATTATTGTCAAAATTATTGTGTTTAACCATTATTGTTTATTAATTTTATTATTATTATCATTATTATTATAATTATCATCATCATCATGATTTTACATGATCAGTCAGGGGAAAAAGAACACTCCTCGAAAAGCCATGTGATCTTTGTTCACCAGAGGTACGTTTAATAATCATAAATTAAAGTAGATTTATTATTAATTGTGATTATAGCCTTTGTCTGGAGATAACAGTCCAAGTGATAATGATAAAGTATAGCATAATGTAAACTGCAGCTTTAAATGCCATAATTTATTTGTTGTAGAAAAAACAAGAGATTATAAAAATCAATTTGAAAAGAGATGATGCAGCTATTACAGACAAAGATGTTGAAAAATATGTAAGACAAAAAACTAAAAGGCATATTTACTTATAATCTTTTTCTTAGCAAAATATCACTAAAGTAGCAGCTAAAGACCCAATATATTTAGATTTAGGTATACCTTTAACTGGTACGGATATTAAACCTTCAGCAAAAACTGAAGGATCAGTTCAATATACTGACGACATTGAATCAGTGAGGCCTAAATCAAAAGTCCCCTCAGTGCAGTCATCTGATGATGAGATGCTATCTCCTAATGATGCTCTTATAATTGGAGCTACTGGAGGAGATACTAATTTACTGTCACTGTTACCTGAGAAAAGTAAAGGAACTGCTACGACAGCACAAGAAGTTGATGGCAGAAATTATGTTGCAGAGGATTTACCTCATGATAAAGGTAATTTAAGAACATGATATTCACTGTAATGATTTATTGTTTTTTTGTAGATTTGCAATTTTCTTCTCTGCCTCCCCCTCATGTTTCTGTGGGTGTACAGGGAAAAATGGGGAGGAGAAAAGAAGCTGGTTCTGCTGTTGCAAATATTCCTGTGGTTGTGGAGTCTTCTTACTTGTAATGTGTGCTAAACAATGTAATGTGTGTTTATTTATGCATAAAACTTTATTTTCATGTTTTCATGATTTTTATGCCTTGGGGTCACATATAGAAGTCATGAATAAATTATTATTATTATTATTATTATTATTATTATTATTATTATTATTATTATTATTATTGCTATTATCTTGCTCACACATATGCATACACTCCACACACACGTTCTCCTCTATTCACTCTCTTTCCCACCTGTTTATTTTTGTTAATCTCGTGCATTAGCACGTTCAACTTGTTAGCAAAGAGTTTTGGTGGACTTAAGCTCCACATATATACTGTAGAAGCTAATTTCTTACATAATCATAGCATTGATACACTTTTTATACATATGATGTAATTGCAGTTAATAATTAAATTTATCACTCATTGGTTATGTAGCCCAGCCCACTGAACCCAGTCACATGACATGACATGATAATGGTAATCATGTTATTTTAGTGCTACTTCTCCAAAACATTTTAAGTGTCTAGAAACAGTAGATGTAATCAGTGTAATGTAACATGATACAAAATTATTAAAATCATTATGTATAATAATAAATTAAAATAAATTCATTGATTCATGCATGCAGCCCCACCCAATCACCTTTCCTGATCATGCTAAAAAGATAATGGCTAATAGCTCTTATGCTATTTTAGTGTTGGTTGCCGTTGCAATAGCACAGTGCAGCAGTTCATCATTGAGTAGGCACAAGGAAAGCAGCTCAAGTGTCAAAGACAGTACCAGTTATGATGTCATTGTCTTTGGAGCAACTCCTGCAGGTTTTGCAGCCTCACTGGGAGCAAAAGCTGCTGGTGCAGAGAAAGTATTACTACTAGAACCAACAGCCTATGTTGGAGGAATGGCTTCACCAGGTGGTATTGGACTACGGGATTGCAACATGGGTCAGGTTAGAAATAACTTAGGAACACAGCACCAATGGGGTATGCGCAATGGTGCCTATTACGGTCTCAAGGGTCCTGTATGGCAGCCTGATAACTGGCTGGGAGAGAGGACATTTCTAGAGATGCTTAAAGAAGCTGATATTGAGCTTAGACTGAATACTACATTTTTAGAGGGGAGCAAAGGAGTCAACACAGAAACTGATGCCAGTGGGCTTAGACGCATAATTGAGATAATGCTAGAATCAGGAGACATATTGACTCCCAGATATGTCATCGATGCAAGCTATGAGGGAGAGCTAATGGCTGCCACTGGTCATGTTAGCTATA